ACTTACTATAAGGAAATAAAACCTTGACGACACTACTTTTGGATTGCCCTAAGTAGGTTACCCAACCAACCACTCGATAGGTATTTCGACGCGTCGATTTTGGCTTCCGTTGGGCATCGAAATTTCAAATCGACCCCTGGAAGTGCCATTTTCCGATAGGTCGTTTTTACTAGCAGTTTTCAACCACTCAAATAGTCGTTTCCGATGGATCGAAATTTCGTTTTAAAAAAAAAATTTATTCGATGGATGTCTCAATTTCGAGTTATTCAAACCCATAGAATATACGTTTTGAAACCTATCGAAGATATGCGGAGAAGTAGATTTGAACATGGGTACTTACGATGCATCTTCCTCGAACAGTTAATCTAAATATGAACTATTATTTGTATATCAAAACGACCTTTTTAATTCATAAGAAGATGGTAATTGTTCATGCTTTTTGATGTTTGATTTTATTTTTTGTCCACAGAGAAAAATTTCTTTTAAACATTAGTAATAATATTTGTTATCCAGAAAAAAAATGATTTTTTGAACACTAAAAATTATATTTTTTATCGAAAAAATTCTTTTTATAAAGAAAAAAATTTTATCAAGAAGGAAAACTTTTTCTATCTCTGTAAGTGACACAAGAACTTTTTTTATTTAAGATTCCGTATAAATCACTTCTGTAATAAATATGACGTGCAATATGTGATAATCGACCAATTTGCACATGGACGCATGAGGTCAATATTTAGTAATTTTCTTAAAATTCACAACGTGGGCATTCATTATTGCTATGTCTTAGTCAAAAAAAGCAGGCGAATATTAGTTTTAGTTTCAATCGGTGGACGATCAATTTTGATCAGAAAATTCTGAAATTAAGGTGAATTATGAAGCAAACTCGAATAATTCTACTAAAATTATTGAATAAAAATAAAGAATATTTTAAAATCGGATTTTGAAGTTTCACATGATCAAGATTATAGACTCCTCTGCCGAAACTGTTATTATGATTGATTTGACTCTTTGGAAGCACTCAATATGATCCTTTCAATATGTTTGTTTTAGTCGAGTGATTAAAATGTGTTAGAGGAGTCGGTAGTATTATTTCGATGGGTGACTTCTCTCGGAGGACTCAAAACTTCGATGAGTGCCGAGGTGTCGAAATATATACGACGAGTCGAAAATGAGTTGTCGATAGGACAAAGTGTCCGAGTCCTCGAAATTCGATGGATGTCGAGGGGATCGAAATTGAAACAGAACGAACAAAATATATATATATCAAATTTTCGACCGCTTGTCGCGCCCATCGTGTGCTTTTTTTTGTTTGCTTGGGTAGTGCCCAAAAATATTTGAAATCTCTTGTTAATTTATTTTTCTTTCGGTAATCCAAAAATATCAACTGTTTTTACTCACAAGGAAACATTTCCAGGTGTCAGAGCGCTTTTCAGCCGAGATTTCGCGCATCTTGTAGCTCATAGTGAGCTGTGTCTATGGTAAAAAAAGTTCGGGTTTCTGGCTTGTTTCTGAGGAGATATCGAGTTCCTAGTGAATTTTCTCTATAGTACGCCTACATTGGCAGCAAAGCTATACTTTCGAATTTTGACTTGAAACTTTGCCTGCATAAAAGCCTTGGCTAGAATAGTTTGCATGAAAAATTTCAGAAGTTCTGACGGTTGAAACTTTAAAAATTTGTCAAAATGATCTGTAAGTTCAAAAGTATCTTCATTAATAAAGACAACTATTTATTTTTCTTTTGGCATTTTTTGGCCAAATGAATTAACTAAGCACTATCGTTTTATCAAATTTGATGAAAATATAGATGATACTACTACACGTCTTTCACAATATATAAGGTTAAGTCTTAATACAAATGCTGCAGCAGTTGTTAAATTTATGCAAAAAGGTTGGCTTTTACCAAAACCTGATTTAATTATATCTGTAACTGGTGGAGCAAAAAATTTTGATATGTCAACACGTCTTAGAAAGATTTTTCAAAGCGGTTTAATTTCTGCTGCTATTACGACAAGTAATTACAATTTAATTTCACTATAAATAATCAATAACAAATAGTGATTGAATAGATGCATGGTTAATTACAGCTGGAACAGATGCTGGTGTTGTTAAAGAAGTTGGTGAAGCTCTTAATAAATATCGTTATAAAAATCGAAAAAATGATGTTGATGTACCATGTATTGGTATTGGTAGTTGGGGTTATACTACAGAAAATGAACAACTTGATTGTCAATCAACAACTTTCTCTACAGATGCAAATACTACAAAAGAAATATCTCCATCCATGAGACATCGTCTTAGTAAAATAACACATTCTGTTCGTATGGTTAGTAGAACAATTTATTTGAAGAATAAAAAAAAATAGTTTTCTTTTACATAATATTAATTTAGGATAATGATGATCAATATGCAGTTCGATATTACACTGTTAAACAAAAGTAAAAGAAACGATGTGATTTAGAACCAAATCATACTCATTTTTTATTATTTGATGATGGACAACCAAATGCTGATACTCTTCTACCATTACGAGCAGAAATTGAAAAATATTGTCGAAATACGAGCATAGATACTGCTACAGACGGAGCAGTTGAATCATTGATACCTATTATTATGGTTTTGGTTGAAGGTGGTCTATCATCGATTCGAACAATTTGTGAGGCACTTGATTCGAATGCGCCAGTTGTTGTTATCAAAGTAGAGAAAAATTTGAATCACATAAATAAACTTTGATTGATTTTTAAAGGAGTCAGGTCGTGCTGCTGATCTTATTGCTGAATTACATACTTGTTATACTGAAAGCGAGAATAGTAATGATAATGTTTATTCTACACGACTACAAACCGGTTTAGCTAAAAGTGGTTCAAAAGAAACAAAGATCAATAAAATGTAAGTTTTGTCTTTCAAAATAAATTATGAACAATAATTATCTCTATTTGTTCATAAAGTTTGACTAACGCACAAGCTGCTATTACAGGACTTCATGAAGTTATAGATAATCTATGTCGAGTATTAAACGAACATAAACAATTAGTGACAATTTTCAAATTTGACAGTAAACGACATCATGGAAATCTTGAAGGTGCTATTCTAGAATCTTTATTTAATGGTAAATATTCCTTATTGATAAGAACCTCTTTACAAGAAAAAAAAAACGTTAATCTTTTTTATAGCTGCAAAATTTTCTGATGATCATATTGAACGAAATCGTCGAACAGCAGAACTTAAATTAGCTATAGTAGTTTAAAAAGATAAGCAACAAAAATAGATCTTTTGTTTTATAATCATGTATAGGTTTGGCATAAATTTAATTATGCTCAAAAATATCTTCTTACTGATACGACAATATCTAAATGGAAAGTATGTCATTTGTTTGTTTTTTTAGCTAATTATTTCTCTTTGTTTAATAAATAAAAGGAAGATGATCTACATCATGCTCTTGTTGATACACTTCATCGTGGTCATGTTGATTTTGTTGAATTACTCATTGAATTTGGTACATCACTAGAAAAATTGACAAATGGAGATCTTAAACAACTTTATGCAGCAACATTGGTATATTAATTTTAACTACAAAAATCTAGAAAAAAAAAATAATTTTTATAATTTTCTTTTTAGACTAATAATCGGTTACCACTTAAAGGCAAAGAAAAAACTGCTATATGCAGAAGAGAAGATTTTTATTCAGATTATTTTAATTTGATCTTAGTATGAAACATATTGATCTATTAATTATTGGGTACTATTTTCATGGTCAGTAGAATAAATGATATGGTCAGTAAGCAAAATAATTATAAAATCAGTGAAATAAATGAATGGTCAGTAGATTAAATGAATGATCAGTAATATAAATGAACGGTCAGTGAATTAAAGGAATGATCATTAATCTATTTAAATGATCAGTTCTTAAATTAATTCGGTATTTTAATTATATGTAAATGTCAGTAAATTAAATAAGAGGATAAGTAAAAAAAATAAAAATGTGTGCTATATATGCAGTGCTTGCTCCTATCCGTTCGTTCACAATCAGGTGAGTGTCAAGAAGTAAAACAGATGGAAGCAATACAAATTCCCCAATATGAAAGTGAAACATCTGATGCAGAAATGGTCGAAGAAAACCATGAAATAAATGAAAAAATTAATAAAAAAAGAAGATTAAAATATTGGATTAAAGAAGCTACCTATGACAATCCTAATGAAGCAGAAACATCAATCGAAAATCAATGGTCTAAACATTATACAAATTATACTGAACAAGGTCGAAAGGTTTATTATCGTTGTAAACGAATGAAACGTCGAGGTCCTCAATGTAATGTTAGCATGTATATGTTATATCATGCAGACTCTGATAAAGTCACTTGTTACAAAACAGAAGGTGAACATGATCATGATGATGATGATAAAACTTGTGGTATTCATGAAACAGTTAAAAGGGTTATCGACGAATTATATGTTGATGGTGTTATGAAGCCTAAACAAATAATCAGAGCTTTAGAAACAAGAAAAATAAAAACACCAACGTACACACAACTGAACAATTATATTAGTCATTTAAAAACAAAGATGTATGGTTCAAATACAATAAGTTTAGGTGAATTGGAACAATAGTGCAAGGATAATGAACATCTTCCAGCTGATGAAAACAAAGCTTTTGTTGTATCATATGAAATCATATATGATACTGAAGAGTATGAAGATGATGAAGACATCGAAGAAGATGAAGGTAATAAATTTCGGATATTCATTTCGTCTCTTCGGTTACTGAATATTACATCACAATCATCACATATACATGCTGATGCTACTTATAAGTTAGTATGGCAAGGCTTTCCAATTTTAATATTTGGTACTACTGATTTAAACAAATCCTTTCATCCATTTGGTTTAGCGATATATTCTAATGAAAAAACAAATGATTTTGCATTTATTTTTAAAGGTATTCAAATTGGAATGCAAAAGATTAATAAAGATTTATTAAAACCAAAAGCATTAATATCTGATGCTGCTGATGCAATTAAAAACGAATTTAAAAAAGTATTCGACAACTCATATGATCATATAATGTGCTGGGCACATATGAAGAGGAATATTAACAATCGTGTATGCCAAATAAATGATAAACATATTGCAAAAGAAATGATAGAAGATATCGAAATGCTTCAATTATCCAACTCAACACCTGTATTTCAATTAGCATCAAAGTTATTTGTGAAAAAATGGAAAATGAACAACAAACAAAATAACCAATCAATATTAGATTTTTTAAATTATTTTGATAATGAATGGCTTCAGTTAAATTGTGGTTGGTACGAAGGTATACAAATGTATGTACCAAGTACAAACAACGCTTTAGAATCAACTAATAGAACAATTAAAGATGATGGAACATTTAGAGAACGTCATGTTTTATCAAGATTCTTGACAATACCGTCAAATATTATTAATAATTGGTCAATTGAACGAGATCCTTCTTCAACTAATGCAAAAATATTTGCTACAGAACCGCCAATATCTTTAGAATTATGGACTTCATCTTATCAATGGGCTAAATCAACAAAAGATATAATTTGTATCTCCAACAATTCTTCAAAAATTTATTATATACCAGCTCGTGATTTACAATCCATTAAAGAAGCTGATTTAACTAAATACGAAAATAAGAAATGGACGACTTTCAATCAATTTAGAAAATCATTTGATATTTGGCGTATGGAAATGGAGAATAATGAAACTTGGAAAAAATCAAAATGTTACTGTCCAGCGTTTCTTAAGAATTATATATGCAAACACATTGTTGGTATGGCTATTCGTTTAAAACATTGCAAACCACCACCAGCAGCAAAAGCAGTACCAATAGGTGAAAAAAGAAAACGCGGTAGACCAGCGAAAGCTAAGGCTGCTTTACTAATACAATAGCTCAATTTTCATTCTTTGTTTTTCATGCCATTCTTTCATTTCTATTTACTATCCTCTTGGATTTCTTATTTATTCTATGTGTCTTTATTTAATTTCTTTTCTTGTATATCAAATTAATCTTTATGGAAATAAACCTTATTTTTTCTACTGATAAAACCTGAGTTGTTTACTGATCAAATTTGAATTTTTAACCGACCGAATTTGAATTTTTTACTGACCGAATTTGATTTATTTACGTATCAAGTTTTAAATTTTTACTGATATTTTTATTTAAAAAACTGACCATTTTTGAATTAATTACTGACCATTTCACTACTGACCATTCAATATTAGCACTGATCATTTGCCTATTTTTTTTACTGACCATTTCATTTATTTTACTGACCAGAAATTATCTTCCCAATTTGTAAAACTCAAAATTCGTTAACTGTGTTTAAAATTTAAAGTCGTTCAAGTTTTTAAAACTTTCAATTATTATAAACTTTAAGATTTACAAATTAAAATTTAAAAACAAAAGTATGTAAATTGAATTATGCATAACTCATCTGTTCATTTTTAGTTTTAACCAATTGCGATTTGCAGAGTGCGCTCAAAATCTATATTTTTTTTTTGAATAATTACGATTTATGGAGTTCGTTCAAAATTGTTTTCAGAGTATCTATAACTAGCGCTCTTTCAAACAATATCAATAATTCATAACATCTAAAAAATCATTCCAAAAATTGTACCTAATATCAAACGAACCACTACAGTCAGACAACAGTCTACAAAAATTAGAAATACCGAAAAATATTTTTGAAATGCTTCACTAATTTCAATTGAAAAAACTTCTCAATTAAATTTCAATTATAATCTTTTTTTCACACGCTTGCTCGTGAATTATCAGTATAATTTTACTCATTGTAAAAAAATGCTTTTCAATTATAATTCATTTAAGATCATTGTTTTTCTTCTCGTTGCTCATAGATTATGGATGTGGGTGTGGGTGTGGACAGCTGTACAAGAAATACCTTCACTCACACCTACACCCACATCCACACCCTTTTCTTTCTTGTTCTCCTTCTTGTTATGTTGCTCTTTGGTGCTATTGATAGAATCGATAGTCGAATACAAACAACAGAATATATTTTTAGTACTAATATACTGAAAAGGCAGATTTCATTTACGAAATTAAACAGTTTTTAGACTGATCCTTTCTCATTATATGTCAAAAAGTTATGTAAAATGTTTTCCCTTGATGTAGAAGTTAGGTATACTGTTAGTTACTCTAATGTTTATTTTACAGATGCTAATTGTCGCTCATAACTTATTAGAAATTAAAATTAATGATTGTCACATATAATACGTCTATTCAATTACGTCATCTATTGTTGGAGTTGTCATTTTGCTTGGTCTTATTGCAATTCTTAATGTATTTCACGAGGAACACCAGAAGTATGATGAGCCAAATAGCATAGGTAATGATAATGATAGCAAATCCAGTCCAGAATACAGTCGGATGACAATAAGTAGCGGTTTGAGTAGCATTAGTCGATTGGAAACCGTTTGCTTGAGCTCCAAATACCCAGACTTGTCCGGCTATCAGCCATGCAACAACGAAAAGTAATAAAACTAGCTGTCCAATTAGACTGCCAACAAGTGAACGTCGAGCACATGGTGAAGGGCTTGATGATTGTTTAATGTATTTAGCAAGAATGAAGCCTATGATAATCACGATTCCATTCACCAAACTCCAGCAGCCGTGAACAATTAAAAAGACATTGATTAGTGGTTGAATTGGACATTGATTTAAATAAGTTATTCCGTTGTTCAGCTCGACAACGAAAGGAGGAATTGTTAAAACACTTTGCAATACAGTTCCCCGCGACGAAAGCCGAGTCACCGCTTTGTCCAAGCGATCTTCATGTGTGCTATTATGCTGCTGCTCTCGATTGCTGTTATTGATCACTTCTGGATTTGCAACGATCGGGATATTGGTAACTGCCCTTGTCTTTTGATCAGCATTAATAGCATTCGTATCATCAGGGAAAGACGACGACTGAAGCATCTTAGGACGTTCAACTAATTAGATAAAATAATATCGGCAAAAATGTAGTAGAAGCATTCATTCTGCAACATATAATTAGCATTCCATTAGAATAAATGAAAAGACAATTGATCAGAATAGTGCGTCGTATCATAGATCTTCATTAGATGTTTTCTATATGAATAGATCGTACTATCGATCCTATACCAAATTATATTATTTTCAATTTCAACTTATTATCTACCTGCATCAACCATTTTAGGATGGAATCTATTATACGTTTGAATGTAGAAAAGAGTTTTTGACAACTATCAGTTAATCGAGTTCTTTCCTAGTTGAGAGAAGGAGAATATGGAGTCACCTTGGGTAATTCGGATTTAAAATTTGAAAATTTGTTTTGTTTTTGTTCGTCCTCAGTCATCTTACTTTTGTAGAAAGGTGATTTTTCTATCATAACTAGATCAAAGTGTCTTCTATCGACTGACGAAAGAATCTCCGAAAAAGTATGTACTAGGAAAAACGTAAGAGCAAAAATGCCGTGACGGGGTCCGAGCTGATTCAAAATGGTTTATTTTTTATTTTATAAGAACTAATGAAAAATGAGTTAGGAGTTGAGAAATATGGCTGTGGTCATTTCTGCTAGAGTGATCCGAAATACCCCACTTAGATTAACTGACTGATTCGAATTACCCCAACTGGGGTAATTCGAATCAGCTCGAACGCCCTCTCAGCATTTTTACGATTACTTTTTTCCTAGTACACACTTTTTCGGAGATTCTTTCGTCAGTCAATAGAAGACACTTTGATACAAAAATCACCTTTCTACAAAAGTAAGATGACTGAGAACGAACAAGAACAAAATAAATTTTCAAATTTTTGATTCGAATTACCCCAGGTGACTCTAATATAGTTGCGATGGATGAAAAAATACTTCTTATGTGATTGGAAAACTCCTGTAATTACGATGCTAAACTTACGCAAAAATTGTTTGAAACTACTTACTTAAGATAATTGGGTTCTCTTACTTTGAAATCAAGCATACAGAATTTGTAAATGCTTGTCAATATGATCGAATATGTTCTGTATTTTGTCGTCTGTTATTTGGTTTGTATCACGTGTGATCTATATTTACTCCGATTACGCTGCTCACTACAAAACAAGAACAGTTAAGCGAGGCAACGACAAAATATCTTTTTTTGAATTTAATGGGAAAGTATAATAGATTACTAGTAAAAAAAGAAACCGAAAGAACTATTCAATCAGTTAAACTACATCTGTATACAGTGATGATAGAATGTGTCGTGGTGTTAGACGAAAGAATGGATGCGTTGCTATGTTAATAATTGAGAACGTGGAAAAAAAGTGAAGAACAAAAGAAAAGGTATGTCTTGAGTTGACAGAACAGAACAGACACAAACACACCAATCATTATTAAAATACTTTTTGCGCAGTTATCACAGCCTAGTTGTCACTAGCTACAGGTGTGGGTGTGGGTATTTCTTGTACAGCTGTCCACACCCATCCACACACCCACACCCCACATCCCACACCCCACATCCCACATCCACACCCACACCCACACTCTCACACCCCACACCGTAGTAACACAATACATGAACATATGTTCTGTACAATGCATTCCAACTTCTACACTATTAGTGCTCCTCATTTAGCTATCATCTTTACCAAAGGCATGCACAACTAGTACGAATAAAAAACAAGTAACGCAGCGCGAACGCTGCTAACCCTCTACTGAAAGGATGAGTTGCACTGAAGATAGGATATTAGAAGTACTAGATATGGGAAATGATCCGTTGGCAGCACATTAAGGAGCAGAATGAAACGAACCATTATTCTTCAAGAGTAGAAAATGTAGATTCCCATATTCGGTAATCCCTACGGAAATTGCATATTCTGAGCATGTTAAAAATATGCTTTATATTCCCATGATATCATCAACATTCTCCGTACTCGCTTTGTCCAGCTTAATATTCTTATAGCATTATCTATAGTCTGATCAAAGTATTAGTATCGTGTCCCCAAGTTTCAAAATGTCTGAAATTTGGAACCAAGCGATTGAAAGTGACAAAAAGTCCTGTGTTAATGCTTGAAAATGACAATATGCCTGTGACAAGATGAGTATCAAGATTCCTGGCTTTTATCAAAGTCATTTTTGTTACTTTTATTTCATAGAAAAGCTTGTTAGCGCAGCTCCTTTGAGGCTGAGATATAGAACCCATATATACTATCTAGCCTAATTAAACTAATACATAACACATAAAGTGATGAATCTCTCATAGATTATAGGTGCTTGCAGGATAATTGATATTCAGAGTAATGACTTCTCTAATTTCTGCATTTCGAAAAGAATTTTCATTTTTTAAAATTCTTTTTTTCTTAATTTAACATTCTTATTATTATAATCATTGAATTAATTGACAAATATGTCTGTTTTACATATTCATGATATCTACAGCAGGTCTCAAGTACTATTATTTATGTTAATTAACTCACAAGTAGTAATATTTATTATTTTTCAAAATTATAACTTGATCAATTTTGCAACAAAATCTAAAAAATGTGACGCCTGTTGTTCTTCATTGCCACGGTCTGTAATGGAGAGGGGTTTAGCAGGAGTGGGAGTCACAAAAACTCGCTCTTAAATTGATACTCACCATTTTCTTCGAAAAATATGTGAATTCCACAAAACTGACTCAGTAGTCAATATATTCACTACAGTAGTGTACTTTTTCTCTTTCGAGTCATTTAAAGTAAACAAATATATCATTTCACTTTTTATTTTTTATCTCTCTTATGTTCTTTCTTGAACGAAGCAGCATCGATATGGCTCTTCTCTTAACTCCTACTCACACTCATAATCCACCCAATAAATCTAGATCGGTAACAAAAATACGTTAGCGTCAGCGATGATATGCTGCGATGCTAAACCAAGATTAAGACACGCTTTCTGGTT